AACACATGTTTGTGCAAGAAATGCAGAGTTATAGTCTGGAGCCAAGATGAAGCCCACCCAAGGCAGGTCCAAGGGATGGTAGTGGGTGTGCCAAGCCCCATGCACCCCAGCAGGTGAGACACTGCGGGCATCCCTACCTGACAGTGGCCAGTAGCTGATCCTTACAGTGTGCTTGTGTGCAAGAAACTCTTAGGGGTCACAGTATGTCTCCCGGGTGACCTCAATCCTCAGTCTCCTAGGCTCACATGACCCCCCCCCTTCACAAGTAGCTAGAACTTTGTGCGCCTGTATTGCCACACCCTGCTCAAGCTCCCTCTCCCATGCCCCCCAAACATCTCTGCCAAGCTCTGTGTCAGAGGGATACAGAAGATGAAAGAGATTCAGGCTGCAGAAGGGCCACTTTTTACCAGAGAAAACTTCACAGAGACAGAAAGGCAGATGCCTGTGTGGCTAGCGATGTGGGAAGCAAAGCGCAGGGAAATCCAAGCTGGAGACCGCACGGGCCGGAAGCCCTTATTAGAAGGTGCCCCGGATCAAAGACTCGGTGTGGAGCAGTGACTCAACCTAATGTGCCTTTTGGTTACGAATAATAGAAGACCCAAATCAAACAGTCTTGAAAAATGAAGTTAATTTATTTTTTCATATTAATCAAAGTTCAAAGGAAGGGTGGCTTGCTATAGAAGTTTATCTTACCTTCAGGGTGGGGTCCTGGTTGTCTCCCTTTCATGGGCCAGCTTGTTTCTTCAGCTGACTTCCTCATGAAAATAAAATGGCTGCCACAGATCATTGGGAGGCCTGACATCAGCGATGGCGGAGATTTCCTCTGCTGGGCTGGCTCTACCTGTGGAGCCAAGGATGGCATGAGGAGTGGCCGCAGTCCTTACCTGTGACTCTCGGGATGCAGAGTGGCCTAGGCAGTTTGCTGAGGAGAGCACATAAGGACACCATTGCCCAGGAGCCCTCAGCAGCCTTGGCCCAACTGAAGAAGCTCCTGGTTTTCAGTGAGAAGCTTCTGGTCAATTGGACGCGGAAAGAGTCCGGCTCTAAACTGGCAAGAGGACTGAGCGGGTGACGGCGCTGCCAGACCTGCTGAGCTGAGGTCTGTCTCAAGCTGCGTGATGGAAGGAAAGAACCCTCTCCTCTATGTTGTCCTCTGACCTCCACATGGACACACACACACACACACACACACAGAGAGAGAGAGAGAGAGAGAGAGAGAGAGAGAGAGAGAGAGAGAGAGATGTAATTTTAAATTCTATTTATTTAAACTTTATTTTTTTAAAAAAAAACAACTTTTCAAGATAAAGAGACCAAAGTTAATCTTCAAGGGAGGAATTATGAGCTGTCGTCCAACCCTGACTTCCAGGATGTGTGCACTCCAAACCTTAGTGTGCTTGGGCGGCCCCTTCCTTGACTGAGAAGGCAGTAGTTATGCTGAAGTAACAGGCAGTCCCCAGACCTCATCACCTTAGAATCCAGGAGAGGCCACGGGCAGTGATCCTCTGGATGATAGCCCTGGGGTGCAGGTCCTGTGTCCTGTCACTGCCATCTCTGGAATACTCGGGCTGTCCATCAAAACAGTGAGACAGGAGTCCGTCCCGCTAGAGGATGGAATGCTGAAAGTCAGTTTCTTCCTCGTGGGAGCAACAGCTTGCTGCCTTTTTTTTTTTTTTTATGAATTCCAGTGGCCAAAGCAAATCTCATGCTAATACACAGCACCAAGGACCAGGTCAGGGTGGCAGGTGCTGGATGCAGAGGAGGACGCAAGCATCTAAAGAAGAGCCATGGGGAGAGCCAGCTACAGTGCAGTCTCCGCGCCCCCTCACTCTGATCAGGTGGCTGCCTGCCTCCTTCACTTGCACCAGCCTTCTATGATTCTGCATGCCACACACCAGAGCCGTTTCCAGAAGGGGAGGAGACTGGCAATGGAAGATTAACCGCTCCCTGGGTTCCACACGGGGATCAGCATTTTCAATAATACTGTGTGAGTTTAACCTCAAAGTAAATGGTTAATTCATCTTATATCAACAGCACTGTGATTCATAATGTAAACTTGGAGAATTTTTGATGTTTCGGGCCCACATTCCTTTTAATTTGCTTCTGCATTCTTTTAAAGCCACAGTATGCTCACTCGGTGAATGCAGCATGCAAATCCGGGTTTCTGCCCGGAGGCGATTTAGCCTGGCTGCTTCAGTAGGCGTCTTTCAAGTGTATACTCTTTCTTAAATTATTTACTGGGTAAACACACTTTGCATTTTCAAAAGGGAGATTAAGACTGCTTGCTCCTGGCCTGCTGGAACATCAAGGCCCCTTACCCAGAGCAAGTTATTGGGGCTGCCCCCAAACTTCTTTCCTGGCTTGCTAGCTAGCAGCGCTCCTTGACCTCGCTGACTTCTCTGACTCCTCCCAGCTCCACAACCTTGCACCTAGCTCCGCTGGCCAGAGCAATAGGGATTGCCCAGCAGCAATGGTCAGGAACTCTTCTCCAGGGTTCTTCATAGCTAGAGTCTGCCACTGCCCGCCTCTCCCCGTCTCCCTGCCGGCTCAGTCCTGTGCACTCAGGTCCATCATTTTCTCTTCCTAGAAAACCATAATTGCCCGAGTCCTTTGCAGCCTGAAGCTGAGTTGATGGTCCTGCCTGTCGGGCTGACACTCGGCCCTCTGCCCTCTGCTCTCTTAGTCTCAAATGTCTGGCAGCCCTTTCTATAGAAGAACCAATGTCTTCCACCAGTGCTCACCCATGAGCCTGGATGACCAGTCCTTCCTCCAGCTATCTGAGAGGGCCCTGTGATAGCTCCATCTTTAGGGGCCCACTTCAACCTTCACCTCATCCTTTCCTACCCTGACATTTTTCTGTCAGCTGAATTTGCCCAGATATCTCCTACATCCTCCTTAGAAGGGGATGATTACAGTCCCCAAGGGCCACAATCTGTCATTACATTCCTGAGAAAGTTAGTTCTCTGTCCTGCTTCCAAGCTCTGGCCACAAGCTCTAGAGGTAAATTCTACACACTCTGTACAGGCAGACACACCAGAGCAGCGGAGAGCTGGTGTCAGGGACACCCGTGGGCACAGGGAAAGCCTCGTTAAGAACAGCTAAGACTTGGAGATGCCTGTGGTTTATTTTGTTAACATGTTCCAGATAAAACCAGTAACCCCATAGGTACGCTTCCTCTGTGTCCATCTTGGATGCTTGGGGCTCATCCCACAGAAAAGACAGACAGTTGTCACCCACGCTGTAGAAGAGACGCACTGCCACCCAGCCCACGCTGTACAAGAGATGCATTACCACAGGTTACCCACAGCAGAATTGGTTAAGTTTTCATGCTTTGAATGTATGTTACTGCTGAGATTCAGTTCTGCCGATTTCCTTTGTAAATCTGACGTGGGTGACTGTGGTAACTAGAGATCTGAACAGTGACTTTAGCAAACAGAGCTGTAGGGACCATTTCTGAGGACCTGCCTCCTCCCTTCCAGGGAAAAGGAGAAAAAACCAACTGAGTTTTAAATGAAGCCTAAGTAGTACCAGTTCATGTTCCTAATTAACCGCACTTTAGTAAGCTGTGCTCCGTTCTTGTTTGCTTGTGGGATGGGACAGAGACTCCATCCTGCCTCCTGGGTAAATAGGGCCTGTTGAGTCTGAATTAGCTGTCATCACAGAAGAATTAATGCGGGGCAAGAAGAAATAAACAAGATGGATCTTCCCCGAGCCTCGTGTGATGAATGAGGACAGGGCGCACCATTCATCTCCCACGAGAACAGCGGACGTGGACACTACAGCAGCTTTGCGGAAGACGTGTCAGCAAATGGCCGTCATTTTGTAACCTGTCAGGAAGACAGGGGGCTATCCTGTTAGGGGACACAGGGGAGTCACTCTAATGGGATGGTGCCCATCCGTCTGTGAAGAGGGAGGGTGGGTGAGGAGTATGCCATCCAAACCGAACCTGATGTCATCCTCCATCCCAGCCGCAGGTTCCCTGCTCAGTGGAGGCCCGACTCATCCTCACACACCCCTCCCCGGGGAAGGCCCTGTCCAGAGGCCCCGTGTGCATGTAAGGACAGGACTCCGCATGGGCCTCTGAGCAGGTGGGGTGGAATTGCTGCAGGCTGGAAGCCGGGTGGGCAGCCAGCTAGACAGCCAGCCTCTCTGAGTTTCTATTTCGGTGCGCTCTGTGAGAGCAGCGAGCGTGGGCGAGGCTGTGTGACCCAGGTTCCCTTTGAACGGCTCAACAAAGCATTGTGGTGTGCGACCTCTTTTCTCCGAATGAGGTAACAAATTATGAAATCACTTCAGCGGAAGCGCACTGCAGGCATCTGGAGCGCGTGTCTCCTCTGCTTGTCTTTCTGAGGTCAGCATCGGCAGAGCTGGGCTGGACCAAGGGACAGCATCCCCCAGAGGGCCCACCCACAGCCACTTGCCAGGCACCTGGAAGACTTTCTGTTACTCTCATTTCCATCCTTTGGCACCAGGGAGCATATGTAACGTTTCCTCCTAGCCTGACGAAGTCATGAGCCACACTGACAGGTGACGGCTTCACAACCTAAGCTGCAAGTTTGACACTTGCTTCTTAATCCTCTCCTCTCCCCGCTAAGTCTCTCTCACTTTTCCTGAGGTATTTTTGTTCAGGTAAGTACCTCACTGACATGTATTTCTTTGGAGTCTTTTTATTTCACGGGAAACACTGGAGGAAAAAAAGTGAGGTTTGTGTGACATGCTAAATTAGGAAGAGATGCTCACATAGGGCCCTTGATCACTTAAAGAAGCTACGTGATGCCCAAGTGTTGGAAAGCCCTTGGTTCCCCTTCGCTTTGGGGCAAGCATTCTATGTGGAAGTTGTTCATTGACCTGGAAGCTCTGTGTGTGTGTGTGTGTGTGTGTGTGTGTGTGTGTGTGTGTGTGTACCTGCCAGGCTGTAGTTCTTCAGCCAGCTTGGCTTGGGCAGTGTTTGTCTAAATGCTGTTCATTTATCCGTGTGCATTTTTCTTCTCTCTTTCCCACAGAATCATCCAGAACCGCATCCTGCTCGTCATCTTGGGGATCATCGTGGTCATCACCATCCTGACCGCCATCACTTTCTTTGTCAAAGGGCACTGATGCATCTGCTCTCCCTTGATAAACAGTGATCTTGTCTTGTTCAGAGTAATTAAGACAAAATGGTCACATGAATCATTCTGTTGTGTTGACAGGCCCCGGGTGACCCTCTGTCCCTCCCTTGCCACTGTTGAGCTGGAGCACAGAGAGTGTAAAGATGTTTCTGTCCCCATCTGCATGTGGGTTGATTTCCTTTCTGAGGTTGGTCTTTGCCCAGATTTGTCGGGTTTTTTAATAGGTAAAGGTGAATACTTATTTGCCTTTAGGTAACTTCATCTGCTGTCCAAAATAGCTTTGGTGACATTCTTCCTTGCCTCGTGGACATGCCTGGGGTCACGGCTGGAGAGAGGACGTGATGACTCAGGCACAGAAGCCTCTCTGTGTCACGTACCTCTCTTTACCAGAAAGGTTTCTATGATGTCCATGGATAACATGCCAGAAAAACCAGAGGCCAGCGCCCGTGAGCAGTTCCAGAGGTCAGCCCCATCCTTCCCGGCATAGAGCGCACAGCCATCTTGCCCAGATAACTTTATTGCAAAGAAGAAGATTCACTGTCACTTGCACAGGAAATTGACTTAGCACTTTCCGTGGCTTTTTAGTGTGTGTGTGTGTGTGTGTGTGTTCACAGGAAGAAATATTTACTCACCTTCCCCAGATGCCATAGTCCCCAGACTCTGCCGGCAATGTGAGAACTGGCCCAGTGTTTAATTGTGGCCTCCTCTTCCCTGCCTGTGTAAGCATTTCTGTATCTTCTCTGCTTTAATATGCGCTCACTCAGCGGCCGTCCTCCCTCGTTCACGCAGACGGTCTGAGAAGGTTCTGTCCACTTCCCGTCCAGCATGAGGATTTCAGAGAGCGTGAGCAGGTCTCCTCCGCTGTGGGCATTTAGCCTGTGGTGATGAAATGGGAGAGCCCTGTAGGACAGTCCACTAGGCAAACCTTGGTGGGAAGTGTCCCCTCACCTCCTCCCGCAGTGTGGAACTGCTCGGGTTTTCCCAACGACCATCAGCAAAGCCCGCCTGGGTTCTCTCTACGTTCAGACCTCTGTCACACTCTGTGACTTTCTTCCCTCTCTTTCTGCCTGAGGTAACGGGAATTGGGAGTCCATTTGTGATCAGGCCTAAAAGTTGCCCAAGCTGAGGTCGTTTTACCTCCAGTCATGAGGAAAATGTGTTTTTCTTAAGACTTCATAGGCATTTACAGGTCTGTACTATTGTTTTTAATATAATTGGAAGCTTTGAATTTTTGAAAAGCAAGTCTTTTCTTCATAAAAGATGCTAAACACCTATACTCATAGAGCAAGATCATACCTACTTGATCTCCCACCACACACACACACACACACACACACACACACACACATACACACTCATACTCCAAAGAGAACCATTATAGAGTAGACAGGAAATACAAAATCCACCAGAGAAATTGTGCTTGTGTAAACAGGCCGGGGCCTGTATGTGTTCAGATAAATCATTTATTATTGTGTAAATAAAGGTGTAGTGTCTGTGTCGGAAGGGTAGGATTTTGGGCTACCAAGGTGGTACAGCCGTGGAGAAGGGCCGGAAGCTGTGCTGACTCTTCTGCCCGCTAAAGGGACCAGCTCAGAATCAAGAAACTTTGATTCTGATCACTGAATTCTGGGCAGCCTAAACGTAAGAAAGAACCGATTAAAAGCACGGAGACAATCCACCAGCCTCCGCTGATGCTGGTGAAGTAGACCGACGGCTCTGGTGGCCTCCAGAAATGGGGTTCCTCAGTTAGGGGTATTCCAGGTTCTAAGCTGTCTCTCCCACCTGCCCCCACCTTCCAGTCCCCTTCTTCCCAAGGCCACCTAACAACAGGGTGGAGCCGAGCACGGGCACTTGCTGGCCCCGAAGCATTTCACTGAAGCCTGCCTTGTTCGCGCAGAAGCAGAAGACCCAAGAAGCAGGCATTTGCTGTTCACCTCTCACTGGCTTTCTCTGCCGACTTCCCTTTTGCTGCTGCCAGTGATTTGGGAGTGGAAACCTGTGAACATACAAACTTGGACCCAGCAGCTCCATCACATCCTGACCAGCTCTGTCCTCCTGGCGCCATGGAAAGAACTGGGGCTGGGGCTATACTTCCCTCCCTCCCTCCCCCTCCAGTCCAGGAAGAGTGTGTGAACCTGGAACAGGTGCCTGTGTGTGGAAGGTTCTAGGTTCCTATTCTGTAGACTTCGGTTGTTGAATATTTCTGAAGTTGGGAGCCTTTGTTTCCGAGTGTGTGGGAGGTAGGGGAGGATGGCTGGCAGCACGGAGGAAGAGGAGGAGGAAGCCCTCGCCATATAAAATTCATGCAGACTAAACAGTTTCTGGGACAGTATAAATAAAGCGGATGCAACCTCGCTCCAGAATCAAAAGCAATTTAATTAAAGTCTCTTAAGTTGTAAAGAGTTTTAAATGTTCCGTGTCGAAGGCAGATGCCTGCAGATGCACTGGGCCTGACGTCAGTGGCCAGGCCTGGGCTGGGAGGCCATTTGCTATTCTGTTTCAGGCAGGCTGGATTGTCTTATTTTGGAACCAGCTTGGTGGGGGGTTTGCTTTGCTACTGCTTCTGAGCCCTGAGCTTCAAAGGCTGAAATTAATGGCGAACAAAATTGTGCGGCTCTGGCCGTCCCATGCGGGGCAAGCCCGTTGAGGGTTATCATTAAGTAAAGAAATAAAGAGGGGGGAAAAGCCTGCCTGCTCCAAAAACCTCATCAGATAATGACCTCAGTGATTGGGTTTTCATTACCAAACAGCATCCAGAGATTATCAACTCGTGGAAGAAGGGAGGAGGGAAAGAAAGGACGAGGCAAGCACTGCCTTTCTCTCTCTCTCTCTCTCTCTCTTCCTCTCTCTCTCTCCCTCTCTCTCTCTGCACATCTTTTCTTTAAAACTGTCAGATCATTTCAGTATTTCAAATCCGAGGAAAACAGCCTGCCTGCTGCTGTATTTGAAGTTGTAATGGTGTCAAAAAGTCACGACTGACTGACAGCCGTCAGTCCCAGAGGGGCTCATTAAATCATAAAAACTTGACAAGGAAATAATTGCGCATGGCCAGCGACTTGGCGCCTGTTTAGACGGTTTTATTGTCTTTCATTATCAGTCCCCGCCATTACGTTCATTAACAAATTGCATTAAACAACTGTTAAGGGCTAATTATTTGTTTATCGCTTTTTTCTATTATTATTATTTAAACATTAGCTGTGTCATGCAGTACCCAGCAGCCTCTTGCCATCATCTGACTGAATCTTCTCCACTCCGAGCCCTGGGTACTGCTGGAATATGAAATAGATTATTCATTACACTCCTCTTTGCCGCTTATTTGGTTTCATGTAGTGTCTTCCACAGAGAAAGATGAAAACTTGTCAAAAATAGGTTATATCTTATTCGAAGGGGCAGCAATAGCAGCAGGTACAGGCACACTTTAATATTTAATTAAGGTTGATGTTAGCCCCTTTAAATGACTTCAGCTGTAAGTTATATTTAAATGCAGAAGAGAAAAATAATTGTTCTTAATTTGCAACCTGTTCGGCAGGCATTCTTCAGTGGGCTCGCTGGAAATTTAGAAGGGAATTTTTAAATAATGAAATTTCTCGTCATAAATATTTATCGTCGTTTGTCTGCGTAGCTGGGAATTAAGCACAAGAGACGATTTCCTCATCACTTCAGTGTGAACCACAGCCTCTCCGGGCACTCCATGCTCGGGAGTAGAGGTGGTAAAATGTGTCTGGAGGAGAAGGCCCACAGCCAGGGACCATGGGTTGTCTGTGGCCCACACTGCTTCCAAAGGAGCGGCTGAGTCCCCGGCCCAAGGGCCTCTTGCCTTCCCCTTCTGCTGAGTGTGTGCATGGGAGACTGGTCTGCAGTAAGGGCAAACAGGCTTAAAGAAAGCTGTGTGTGCCTGGTTGGTTGGCACAGGAAGGTGTGCTGCAGTGTCTCGGGACTCTGTGTCGCCAACTGAAGCTCATTACAACCCCTGCTTCCCTAATGGGTGACAGGAGCAGCCCCGTGCAGGGACTCAGCCTCCTCCCTTCTCCTTTCTTTGACATGCCATTGGTGAATTGATCGGCCTTTCCATGACTGCAACCTCAAGGGGCCAGAGAGCACAGAGCCCAATCACGGTCATCTGAAATCAGAAGTCCTGCAGTGTCCCCTTCTTGTATCTGATCACCACTCTGTTAGTTTATGTAACTATGGAAACCACAGTCTCGGGGCCAGGTACTCTGGTAAAGGCCAGGGACAATAGTACCTTTTCTCCATTCTGTCCCTGGTCCCCAGCTCCCATCCTAAACGGGCAAACCCCAGATGGTCCTGCAAGAGTCATGAGCCAGCCAGGAGGCATCAGGCCTCGTTCAGGCTGGAGGGCCTCCAGGCTCTGGTGATGAGAGTCCATGTTAGTCACATGACAACTCACCTCCTGTCAAGTGACCTCCACACCCCAGCAGAAGACAAGCTCAAACCATTTTTCCAGTGGGAAGGAAGAGTGTGTGGTTAGCCAACCCCTACTGAGAAAGAAACTATCCTCTGTCTTGCTTTCACCCAATGCTGTGACCTGCTGACTTCAAACCTGACCCTGAGCTTAAATAAATATTCTTGTTTCTGTTCCTCACCTGTGATGCATCCAGCCTGGCCTAGTGGCATCTGCCAGGCGGTCCATGTAGTGATTGTCACCAAGGAGGTGACGAGGCAAACAGCCCCATAATGTTCTTGGAACCAGCAGGAACCACACGAAGATGGACAATGTTTAAAGGTGGCCGGGGGCGGCCAACCCAGACAGAAAACGGATGTGTGACTGGAGCTGAGGCAGCCAGGGGCAAACTTCCCACTATGGAGTCTGTGACTCCAGTCAGGGCCCGGTTACCAGAGGCAAGTGGCAAAAGCAGGACAGGGGAGATCTGGGAGCAAAGGACCAGATAGTGAGTGAGCTGGGAGCAAAAGAGATCCTGGCAGGGGACATCCTGAGCCCATGGTGCCCTTTCTCAAGAGGAGTCAGTGAAGGGATAACAGGGACCCCTGCCCAAGTCACCCATGCCATCCTCTGAATCACCTCCTTACGTTACATAAACAAGGGGGGCATCCAGGTGAGGGGGAGCCGGCTATAGGCAGAGCGCAGGCCTGTAGTTCTGCCAACTCCCACCCCGCCTTTCCTTCATCCAAACAAGGCCCTTTGGCATGAATAATAGCTGGGGAGGCCGGGAAGGAGCGAAGCTGCCTCTCCACCAGTATTGATCTGCAGCCCGCTCATCCGCCAAGGACTGCCTGGGCCTTTCCTGCGGGCAGGCCCACACCAGGGCCCACGCTGCAGCCTGACTCCTCCCGGGGCCTCCCCCAGGTGTGTTCAGGGGGAGGCAGTGCCAGGAAGTTGGGGCGCAGGGAGCCCAGGCGCTTCTCCACAGCTCAGCACAGCTTCAGTGCCCCAAAGTTTTTGTTTTCAACTTGTTTTGCCACAAAATGCCCTTGTTAGAAAGAAACAGGTTTTTTTTATGATGAGCCCCCACAGAGTTGAGAACGGACACATCCTCAGGCTCCAGCCTCTCTGCACAAGGTTCTGCCAAGGGCCCAAGCCACAGCGGTCTCCTCCGCCGACCGAGAAGGCCCTGCATTAGAGTAAGTGCTGGCATACTTTAGTCTCTCTGGTAACCCTCTGCCTTCGCCCACCCCAGTTGTAGCTCTCCTCCATACAGAAAGTCCCAAGACTTTTGTCCCTGGAGGGAGACACTATTGTGATGTCAGCTAGGCCCTTGTACAGGAACTCTCTGAAATCCCACCACGGCTCCCTTTGGCTTCTGACTCAGGATGCTGGGGAAATGCAGATCCAACCTCCCCAAGTGGCCTCTGTTGCACTGGCCACATATATTCTGGTGGAGATGTCTCCCTGTCTCCTGAGCCCCCATTTCGGGTGTTCATGGGGTCAGGTATGTAAGTCAACACCCTGAAGTTTCTCCTGTCTTGGTCCCTCGGAGTAGTAAAGTCACGGGCTCTGTCTTGTGCTAGAGACCCACACAAACCTGCACCCTTGACCAGGTTGTCAGGCAGTCATGAAGTCTGAGGATACGCTCTACCAAGGAAGAATGGGGGTGAGGATGCCCTGGCGGTCCTTGTGAAGAACCGTGTAAGGTGAGCTCTGGAGTTAGGACAACTGGCCCTGGGGTCTACCTTTGTTTCTGTCCATCAGCTTTCCAGGCCATTTCATCCCAGCTCAGGGTCAGAGAAGTCCCAGACCCCTGCACTGTGCAATTCGACATACAATTGTCGCAAATGGGTTGCTTGTGCCCAGGCTGCCCAGGAGCCTTGGACCAGGGAGACTTGGCCATGCTCAATTTGCATGTCTTGACATTGAACAGACCCACCCCTCCTGAGGCAGCGTTTGTGAAGAGAGGGAGGCACTGGAGTGAGGAGAAGCCTGTGGTTCCAATGAGCTTATTATAATCCAACCTCTCCCTGTTTAAAAAAGAAGTGTAACCAGATTTATTCATCTAGTCCGTGAATATTTATCCATGAGTGCTTACTATGTGCCAGGCCCCAAAGGCCCACACTGAACGGGAAAATTCAGAGAGCCTTGATGCATCCCAGTTTGCCTGCTGATTGCCGAGAGATCATTCTCAGGCTTCCAAACTTCATGGAGAGACCTCTGCCATTGCTGTCCTTGTCAGTGCACCCAATATCCAGAGCCCATTCTCCCAGAATGGCCCGGCAAAGAACATTCAAGATGCAACATCGGGTGTTCTTCCTTCAGTTTCTGTAGCTGCATTTGCAAGATCTATGAAAAAGCAGACAGGAGTCCTCTGCCTGCAGGTGGGTAGGTCCCCACTGCCACTGTTTCGACAGCCAGGACCTGCCCTTGAGAGGGAGATGGGAATAGGGGGTGTTAGTTAGATCAGGGCTGACTTGAAGGGTGGGTTGGTTTTTGGTTTTTTTTTGTTTTTTTTTTTTTTTGTTTTGTTTTGTTTTTTTAAATTTGACTTGGCGGGCAACGGAAGCCCAAAATATCATAAAAGAGAAAAAAGTTGCCAAGTGGCTAAGAGGTACACAGCGGGAATGTTTCTGGGCTCTAAGAGGTGCTAAGTGAAGAACAGTGAGCAGGGAGGAGATGGAGCAAGAGGGTTCCAAAGGGGGCTGTGTCCTCCTCCCTCTCCCCCATGCAGCCACGCAGAAAGGGGAGAGTGAAACAGAATGTGTATCAACTCCATACCTGCCCCCTCTCCTAGTGAAGAGACTGGTGGTGGGGTGTCTAATTTGAGGGCAGGAGGAGCCCAGGCACCCCAGCAAATGCTCCCACACGTTCCATCCTGTGTCGGCCCTCTCTGAACTCCTAGGTGAAGAAAAAGGAGACCCACAGAACCGGACACAGTGTATGTGGCGGGCAGTGGGGGAAGGGGTTTAAACAGTGAACTGCCATGGATCTGCATCCTTCAAGCTCAGTGCTGGCCACCTTGGCAACACCTTGAGTGTTCAGGTGAGCTCCAGTTCACAGCCTTTGGAGCTGGGCATGCTACAGGGTCAAGCTAGCCACCCCGCTCTTGTTTTCCGATGAAGAAATGGGTCTTAGTGGGAGAACGTCATTTACTGAAGACCTAGTAAGTTGGCAGCAGAGCCCAGGGTAGGCTCTAGGCCTTCAGTGCCCCCCCACACACACACACACAGAGGTGTCACTTATAGTGACACATGCTGGAGATTTTGTCTTTTGACCCTCCATTGCCATTCTCATTCTCTGACTTCAGGAGCCACAATCGAAGACTTTCGTGAGCCTTGACTCAGAATCCACAGAGCTAGTGATCTGGGTGGAGTTCACCTTCACGCCACTGGTGCTGAAGTCCCCACTGGGTGCAGTGACATTGACTAGTCCTTGTTGACTAGATTCCTTTCTCCTTGCATGTCAGGTCCTTGCTCCCAGGGAGCTAGCAGGGAGATGCCCCAACTGGCATCTCATTGACGCTCCTAAGGTCCCCTGAGGAAGGGATCTCTAGCCTTTGTCCCATGTGGCATCTTCTCAGCCACTCTCTCCACCAAAAAAAAAAAAAAATAAATAAATAAATAAATAAATAAATAAATAAATAAATAAAAACCAACTTGTGAGAAACCATTCATATCATTAGGGGCACCACTGTGAAGACTGGAAACTTCTCTGCTCCTAATGCCAAGGGTGCTGCTTCTCT